CATGTTTCAGATTGTCGAAATAAAATGTCTTGTTTTATACATTAGATTATCAGAGTAACATATTTTATTTTACATTTTACATGTTAGATCATCGAAGTAACACATTTTATTTTACACGGTTTACATTATGAAAACAAAATTTATTTACCGAAATTTCGTTTCTCGTTCGAAATACCATTTTACTTCGAGTGTCTCGTCTTTCTATTTCGGACAGCTCTGCGGCACCGTTAAGTCGATCTAGGAAACGCGATGCGAGTTCGTTAATTACAAACTCGTTTTATGTAACGCCTAATGCGTTACGCGGCTGCGCCTCGATGGTAATGAGCCTACCGGAAGTCCACCGTGACTTCCTCGATCGCGAGCGTATGTAACGCGTGCGAAGAACACCGTAAATAGTGCACCGTCTTACGCGTGACCCACTTTTGTTTCTCGCGCCGTTTCCACTTAATTTCAACTTCGAAATCCGAAGATTCGAAAGTAGGATATTTCGGGCACGGCCGGACGGACAGAGCGCGCGGTGCACATTTTAGCGGTATCCTTGATCATCGGCTGGGCTTTCGAGGCCATTAAAAAAAAGTGCAATCGCGCACTTTCTACGTGAGTGGTTACATCGAACAGAAAAGGGAAGGGTCCGCGAACTTGTGTCTTATCAAGTCGCTGAACTTTCTCCCGCCGATGTTCCCTTTTAGCTCGTCTTAAACAGTATCTATAAATGGAGGTGCAGCGGTTGCAGTGTGATTCCGTGACTTCTTGGCCGCGGTTCAAAGGTGATCCTAGAAATACCGAACCCTAAATGCAATTAATATACAGGATGACTGTATTTTTCTGTATCTACTTCGACAGTGTGTTCTACAAGCGAATATGAACCGTTTATTTTGAAAGTGGCATAAGTCACTTTGTTTTGAAGTCAACATATTTAAGGGTTTGCGTTTTTTAACACGTTTAAAAATATGGATGCTAACTTCCGAGGAGATTTACTTGTATTTGTTATCTCAGGATACTGATATTTTTCTCAGTATAAATAATTTCGTATAAACATTAAATAATCACCACTTTTCATTACGGTAAAGTGACTTGAGCCACTTTCAAAATAAATAGTTTAAAAAAATGACTGACATATATTAATTTTGTCCGACGTATTTTACCGAAGTGATGTTTTGAAAGAACAGTGATTTACTAAAATTGTTGAATGAATTACATGTATAATAATAATTTATACCATGAACATATTTAATATAAAGGTTTGATTTAAGTATTTTTTATTTTAATATTCATAAAATACAAAAATAATTAGTACATTTTCAAACATAAGTATAAGTAATTTATATGAAAATACATCAGTTCAATTTAATTTTCGTCATCGATAGGAGTGA